CACACAATGAAGTATGGAAAGTGTAATAATTAACACCAATCGAATATGTATTTAATGTAAGTTACCGTTTTGTTGCAAATTCAAATTATTTTGCATGGAAGTAATTTCTTGATGATAATGGGCTAGATTACAAGAATAATTAGCAATCAAACAGGAGCTCTAAAAGTAATTATACAAAATAGTTTTTGGTGTCACAATAACTCAACAACTATTTTAATGTATTGAAAAAAATAAAAGTTAGAATTACATAATGTATGACAACTCATATGAAAGATGGTATCCAATTATTACCAATAATAGCTAGAAGTACAAGCAACTAACCCCCCCCCACCAACAGATTCTTAGGGAAAGAGAAAGTACCTGTTTGAGGAACTTTTATTGTCCGGTGTAAGGATGCCAGAGGAGAATAGATTAAGCGATAATATTTTTTTTTTTTTATTTTTTTTTCTAATTTTACTTTTATTTTTTTTTTTTTTTTGTTTATTTATATATTTTTTTTTTTTTATTTTTTTATTTTTTTATTATTTTTTATTTTTATATATATTAATTTATTATTTAAATTTTATTTTTTTTTATATTAATTTTTTTTGATATTTTAATATATTATTTTAATAATATTTTTTAATTTTTGTTATACTATAGTTATTTTTTAATTTTTTATTTTTTATTTTATTTTTTTTATTTATTTTATTTTATTTTTTTTTTTATATATATTTTTTTATTTTATATTTTCTTTTTTATTTATATTTTGATAATTATTTTCAGTCGTAGCAAAATGCCCGCCTATACCCGAGTGTATGACCGAGTTTTTGGAAAAACTCGGTAACACCCGTATAGCGGGATTTTGCCTACAGACCGAATGTTCCTCTACAGCCGGGTCGGAGGACGTAATAATTGTTCCGGTTTGAGAGGCCATATGAAAGAAAGAGAATAGTAAGATTGGCTACAGCAGTCTTGATATGAGGTCTACTGGCCACCATAAACATCATTGTTTAACTCGATAAGCATGAAAATGAGCTAATAAAACAAAACACAATCGACTGAAACACCCATATAAATAAACAACCAAAGTTGAACACAAAAACAGAAAGCTCAAATAAACCATTCAATCGAACATAAGCAAGCATGATAATAAAACGAACTGTTGCGGGCTAGAATAACGCGGCGTATAGTTTGTAAAATTCGCTTCCGAGCATTGTAGCGGTAATTCACACAACTAAACAGAAAAGAGAAAATGAACACCAAAGTTTATACGTGGAAAACCCGTAGGGAAAAAACCACGGGGCCTCGCCCTCAGTTGTAAAGTTCCACTAGTATTGTTTGTAAGTACAAAGGTTGAATCCGCTTAACAAATCCAAAGAACTGCATCAGTTTTACAAATCAACTTCTGCCAACAAAGTACAAGTCTGCAAATTCCCCGTTTCCAAATCCGGCAGAGTTCCGTGCGTCTTCAGGCGGCGGAAGAGCTCCGAACTGTGTCGAGATGATCTTCTTCCTTCTCTCCTCTTTCTTCTCTTCTCTTCTTCTTGACGTAGTCCCATCTTTGTGAAGGACATGAGGCTATATTTATAGTTTCTCTGAGAGTGACAGTGACCGTAAATAGGTGTGAGATCAGGGCAAATGGAGTGATTTGATGGACAAGTTGCATATTGAAATCCGCTTGATCTGGTACCGTTTCGTAGAACATTTTGAAAGGCTTAATAAATATGCGAAATTCGGCGATCTTGGACTCGTTGGATTCGTCTCGTCGAGCATCTCGATTCGAGTATAAGCTCGTTAAAATCGGAGACCGTTTGGTAACTCAAATTGCGGTTTGAACCTTCCAACAGCGCTTTGGGTACCCATTTGGACTCGGATTGGGTCGAATTTGGTGTTGTTGGGTTTGTATTTTCGAGACGCTCAGTTCGACTATAAGCTCGCTGAAATCAGAGTTCATATGCTCCTGAATTTAATCTTTGAAGTTTCCAATTAGCCTTTTGTCTCGAGATTTGTGCCTAATCAAGATAAATTTGTGATGACGTATCAGAACTCAAACAAGAACACGCACATCCGCGACTCAGCTCAATTCGTTTGCAGCCCTAACAACCATTCATAGCGACGCCTCATGTCCCAATGCTTATATGTTTATATTTTGACACTTAATACACAACTCTCCTTGGCCTATTGGTTGAGAGCTTAGGCTTCCAACTAAGAGCTCCAAGGTTCGAGTCCATGTGTATGCGTTGTGTATGTGAGTTTGCCTTAAATGGCCTAAATGTCCCAAAAAAAAAAAACACTTCATCTTAGTCAAAAGTCCCTTATTCTGCTCAATACTAATCTTACAGGTGGCATATCTTTTTGTTCTCTTGCATGTTTATTTTTGACAAAGTTATTTGTTTTTGCCTGTGATATTTTCAGCCTTCAGAGGAGTAACAAATCCTTCCTTATCACTTACTGGGAGGAAACGAACGAAACTTCCAAAATCAAAGTCAGCAGGAAGCAGTGGAGCGGTGCAATTGGCCACTACGAGGGAGCACTTTCGATACAGTTGATGCAGAGAAAACTTCAATAAATTAATTGGTATTCAAAACTTATGAAACTCTTTCCTCATCTATTCCATCTTGTTTATAAGCACACGGTTAAATTGAAAGTCTTCCATGATAGAAAAATAAGCAAATGCTGCCGGCCTCCAGATCCTCGCATATTGAAAAATTATTCTATGCGGATAATGGACTGCTTCCGGAGAACGATCAGAGTGCGTCACATCACCTTTTGCTCGGTACCGTTGTCTATTGAGTGATGCGGTGCGTTCTGATTGGTCTCTGAATCGTCTGGTATCTGCACAGTCACACAGAATAATTTCTCCACTTATTTGAATTATTAATATACTATAGGAAAAAATTTGCTTAGATAATTTATTTTGAGAAGTTCAAAAATTATTGTATTTATTTGTAAGATAAGCATAAAATTCTGTTAAGCGTGACTGAGATGAGGAGGCTCAAGTTCATGAGTGGCTTTACCCTTGATATATCATCAAAAATTTTATCTTGATCAGGCAGGAATCTCTATGCAAAATCAGGCAGGAAGCTTCAAAAATTAAAATTGGGATCATCTGAACTCCGATTTCAGCAAACTTATAGTCGAACTGAACGTCTCGGAAATACGAACCCAACGACATCAAATTTAACTCAATCTGAGCACAATGGGTTTGAATCGAAGACCCGAAGCACTGATAGAAGGTTCAAACCACAATTTTTCCAAACATGACATGCTTATAGTTGAATCAAGCGGCTCGATGAAACGAATCCAACGAGCCTAGGATCGCCGAATTCCAATATCATTAAGACCTTCAAATGTTTGACGAACGGTCCACGATCAAGGGATTCAATATCGACTGTCCATCCAAACCACTCCCCATTTGCCATTGATCCTCCTCCTATTTACGGGTCATGTCACTCTCAGAAAATTATAAATAGCCACTCATTTCTCTTAAGAGGGGACCCAAGCAAGAAGAGAAGAGGAGAAGAAGGAAGAGAAGGAAGAAGCTCCTCCTCAACCACCGCCGAAGTTTCTCCCGACTTTCAAGTGACGCCAGAGTTCCGCCCGACCTCCAAGTTGCACTGGATTTCGTCTCGACTTTCAAGTGAAGCCGGAGTTCCGTCCAACCTCCAAGTGACGCCAGAGTTTCTCCCGACCTTGAAGAGATGTTGGAGTTTCTCCCGACCTTCAAGTGGCGTGGGAGTTCTTCATGACTTTCAAGTGACGCCGGAGTTCCATCCGACCTCCAAGTGACGCTGGAGTTTCTTCCGACCTTCAAGTGACGCTAGAGTTCCGTCTAACCTTCAAGTGACGCCGAGTTATGTCCGACCTTCAACTGACACCGGAGTTCCGTCCAACCTCTAAGTGACATTAGAATTCCTCCCAACTTCCAAGTAACGTTAAAACTCTGTCTAACAAACAATAGACACTAGTTTTCTGACACCAGCATTCTGATATTCGTTTGCAATTGAATTTCAACACGAGAGTTGATTATTGTAATCTGATCGTCCTAAATTTTAAGTACGAGTCAGCCTTTTGTAACTCATGCAAACACTAGTAGAATTATTTCAATTGGGCATGTCCATGTGATTTTTCCCTTTCCAGGGCTTTCTACGTAAAAATCCTAGTGTTTTATTTCTCTTTTGTTTGTGTGTTGGATATCCGTACAATGCTGAGATGAAAAATTCTAACTCTATCGCCGCATATATTCTAGCCCGCGACAACACTTAAAAATAGATTGTGAAGCGAAATGAGTATATACGTGAGAAGTAGTTCAAGCTGCAGATAAGATTAAAGAGAGTTGTCTCATATAAAATGTTGCCCTTTTGATAGAAAAATTATTGCATGCAGTGTCTGAACGCATATGTAGGCTAATCCGGACACACCACGTCACCCAATGCACAGTGCATTGGGTGACGTGACGCGTCCGGATTGGTCTCTCGACACATTCAGACACTGTACAGAATAATCCCTCCTTTTGATGACTAAATTAAGAGAGTAGATGTATTAGATTTAGAATATGTTAAAAAAGGCAGATGTAAAACTAAAAAGACTTAGATTAGAAAATATTAGAAATTATTAGATTTAAATGAGAAAAAAAGTTTATATGATATAATGAAATATATATTTATATATATACTCGATCCCACATAGTAGGATAAAAATTTAATATTATTGTATACATAATATCTATTTATTAATTGTAATTTTTAATTTATTGAAATTATATTATAATGAAAAATTATATCAAAATTAAATTTTTTAGAATTATTCTGAGATTGTGCTACACTTAGTATTTTGAATTAATTTATAAGATGGTATTGATGATACAAATAAAATATAAGAGTGATATATTTGATATTAAAATTTTATATGAGTGATAAAAATATAATATTAAATTTTTTTATATTTAAATAATAAGAAATAAATGGCACGTATGCAAGTTTCCCAATTTTTTTTCTTTCTAAGCCACTTGCCTCGCAGAAGCGCTGGGCATAAGCCATGGCATCATCGTTGCGGGTTGATTCGCCCCCAAGAAAGCGCTGACGAATTCCCCTTCTCTCGCGCAGTTCATCCTGGGCTTCTATAAAAGCCAGCATATCATGACACTCTCCACAAAATTTCAGACAGAGAGAACAGTTAGAAGAAGATAATGGATGGGGAGATAATGACAAGGTTTGCCATGGAAGCTCCCAGCTTCCGTGGATCTTTCGGAGCCGCGGCGGTCGTGCCAGAGATCGCCGGTAAAGACGATTTCCCTTTGGATGATTTTGAATTCGCCTTTACTTCGGTTAAATCGGACCCCAACACCGCGACGGAAACAAACGCCGACAAGATCTTCCACAACGGTCGGATTCACCCCGTGTACCCTCGCTTTTATAGAGATCTCGTCGATGGCGGCTTGGAGGAGAAGAAATTGGAGGGGGGAATCGGCCACTTGGCTATGGATTTTGAGAAGAAAGGGCAGCGGTTGGGATTGAAGTCATCATTTTCGTCAATTTCATCAGAAGCTAAGGAACTGGACAAAGCGGGATGTGTTTTGAAGAGTAATTCGACGGGGTCGGTGGCTTTGGAGTCCAGGAGATCGAGGTTCCGGGATATTGTCTTTGGACGCAGCTGGAGTGAAGGGGATAAGCGTCTCTTGGTTCCAGCATCGGGAAAAAATAAAATGGAGAAAAGCTGCTTTCATCTCTTTAGGTCTAGCTACAAATCGGCTTCGAAGGAGGTGGAAAAGACGGGGAAGAGGGGGAAAGAGAATCGCGGTGTAGTGAAGAATTTAGACATCGTCACTGCTCACCGGAGCTACTACTGCAGGGGAATCGCCGGGGGAGCAGAAATGGCGATAGGCGGCTCACGGCGAAGTTTCTTACCATACAGGCGGGAGCTGCTCGCCGGCTGGTTGTTCTGCCATACCAGGCGCAACGACATGTAAATATATGTATTTATGAAGTTATTTTGAGTTATATGTTACATATAGGAAGAAGAAGATTTCGGATGAGATAAGTCTAAATTTTCTTAATTTGCTTTGGGAATTTACTCTTTGATTGTCTAAAAAGGAATTTAGTGTAAAAAGGAATATAATGTAAAATGATGTAAAAAAGAATATAGTGTAAAATGAATGCAATGTAAAAGAAATACTTTTGAATTATTTAGATGAATGTAAATTAAATTTAGTTGAATGATTTTCTTAAAAAAAAATATGAATGTTATATAAAGTTTAAAGATAGCGGCGACTAGCGGATGGCGATGATGGTGGCGGTGGTGGTGGCAGGCGGATGGTGGCAGCGGCCAGAGAAGGTGGCGATCGGTGGCAGTCAAGTGAACATGTTTGAGGTGTAAATCATTCTTACTCAAAATTGGGTACATTTGACTTACCTCAAAAATTAACTAGAATGATTTACACTATATTTATTTTACTTTGTATTTTTTTTCATCTAATCAAATATCGAAATTTTCAAAACCTTTACATTTGAAATACTTTATCACCCTTTTGTAATCTGACCCAACAACCCCTTAATATCTTTATATTTCCATTTTTATTATTTATTTATCTCAAATACACTACTTTGTTATTCTCTTTAACCCGCATGATATTACAATATAAAATCCTCCCCTTTTCCATGCTACTGGAGCCCTCGTCAACTTCGTTGCTCTTTTCGCTCAGAAAGCTCACTCATATGAAATTGAAATCATGAATCCCTTGAGGCAATTTAGGATTGATACCCCTTTCAAAAAACAGCTTGATTAGACACAAATTTTGATACATATTTGGAATCAAATTTTTCGAAATTAAATTTAAAATAATTTGAACTCTAAATTTAGCAAACTTAGAATCGAATTGAATGTACCGATGAGATGAACTGGTTGATGAAGACTTGAGAGACCTGTAGAATCAGACAGAAACACAGAGAATAGAGAAGAAGCTAATAGCAGCTGAGAATCGTATGGACATATTCATTTTACTAATAAACTGTAGAATACAAAGAGTGGTATATATAGATGTGGTATTGAATAGAGTAGTGGAAACAAATGTACAGTCCACGTGAGGTTGTTATTAACCGAAAGGTAGAAGGCCATGTGCCGAGTAGGCATTCAATTTGTTATGTTATCAGCCCCCCTCAAATTGACCTGTAGGTGGTCTGATGGTCAACTTGGCTCTGAGCTCCTGGAAGCGAGGTGGCAGCAGTGACTTGGTGAGGATGTACGCGGTTTGATCGGCTGTGGCAATGTGAGCTATGGCGATTGCTTGACGATGGATGTGCTCACTAATAAAGTGATAGTCAATCTCAATATGCTTAGTGCGGGCGTGAAATACCGGGTTGTTTGCGAGAGCTATAGCGGAGGTATTGTCGCAGAAAATGGTGGTTGGAGAAGATTGAGGAATTTGGAACTCCGCCACTAAGCGTTGAAACCACAGGACATATGATACAACTGAAGCAAGAGAGCGGTATTCCGCTTCTGTGGAGGATTTTGCAACGGTGACTTGTTTCTTAACGCACCAGGAAATAAGAGTCGTACCCAAAAATGTGCAAAATCTAGTGACCAATTTGCGATCCGATGGGTCAGCAGCCCAGTTGGTGTCGGTATATGTGGATAGTTGGAGATCTCCTTTAGTGATAGGTAGGCCATAATGCAGTGTGCCTTGAATGTATCTTAAAAGGCATTTGAGGGAGTGATAGTCGCTGTTTAAAGGATTGTGCATTTTCTGGCATATTACGTTTGTAGCAAACGCAATATCCGGCCTGGTGATGGTAAGATACTGCAGAGAGCCTGCCAATCTTTGGTAGTGTTGAGGATCAGGAAAGGGTTGATCATCTGGAGCAGGTGACAGAGATTTGTGAGAGATCGGGGTGGGAGCCGGTTTGCTGTTGTCGAAGCCTACTACAATAAGTAAATCTTATGCATAGTGCTGTTGATGAAGTAGATATCCTTCAGGGATTTTATCCACTTGAATGCCAAGAAACAGTGAGATGTTGCCTAGTTGCTTGAGGGAGAAATGGGTGTGTAGCTGGGAGAGGAGATGCTGAATCGTGGAGGGATCATTGCCTAGGAGAAGCAGGTCATCCATGTATATGAGGAAGTATAGTTGTACCTTTTTGTCTGAGAAGATTAGGAATGAGGGATCAGCCTTGTTGAAGCGGAACTCAAAACACAGGAGGAAGGTTGTGAGTTTGCTGAACCATTGCCAAGGGGACTGTTTTAGTCCATAGATGGACTTATGCAGGCAACAAACATGGTCCGGTCGGTGGCTGTTAATAAAGCCTGGGGGCTGCATCATATACACTTCATCGTGCAAGTCTTCGTGAAGAAATGCATTGGCCACATCGAGCTGTAGGATAGGCCAATTATGGTGGAGAGCGACTGTGAGCAAAATGCGAATGGTAGGCATTTTGGCCACCGGACTGAAGGTGTCCGTGTAGTTTATTCCTTTTTATTGGGTATAACCTTGAGCGACTAACCTGGCCTTGAAACGATAAACCTTGCCGTTAGAAAGGAGCTTCGTTTTAAATGTCCAACGGCAGCCCAATACAAGTTTATCCCCCGGGGACGGGACAAGTGACCAGGCCCTTGTTTTTGGAGTGCTAAGTATTCAGCGGACATTGCTTCCCTCCACTGCCGGTGTTGGATAGCCTGTTTATAGGTGGAAGGTGTTGGTTGGGTAGGTTGGGTTGCTAAGAGATCATATATAAGTTTGGGTTTAGAATGGCCAGTTTTGGCACGAGTTTGCATAGGATGAGAAGATATAATGGGCAGGGAGGTAGGTGGAGCTAGTAGGGAGGAGGTTGGAGAGGAGTCAAGGGAGACATATGCTGGAGATGATGTAGACGTGAGCTGAGGCTGAGGAGATAACGTTTGAAATAATGGAGTGTGAGAGCTCGTTCCTTTGATTTTTCCTCTCTAGATTTGATTTTCCTCCCAGGATCGTCCGAGACGATATTGAGATCGTCCAGGACGATCAGTGCATTGAAACAGTTGATTTTTCTGGAAGTGGATCGTCCAGGCCGATTTGGGATCGTCCTGGGAGGATCAGTGCATGGCGAAATCCCGAGAGCAAGGGTTTTTGGCAAATTAATTATCGTCCTGCATCGTCCTGGAAAATCATCCTGGACGATTGAAAATTGGTCATATCGTCCTAGACGATGTGGCAATCGGCCAGGACGATCAGACTTATTTTATATGCAAATCAGCTCGATTTGAGGAGAGAGAAAACATTTTTATAAAACTCAAAATATCTGAGGAGAGAGAAAGAGAAGAGAAGCAAAGGAAAAGCTTAGTTTCGGAGGCCGCGGAGCGCTTTTTGTCCGACGCCGCTGTTGGGAAAAGTGTTTATCTCGTGGTAAGGACTCTGAATCCTATTTCTGTTTTCAGAGATATCGAGTTTTGATCGTATTGTGCACTGTTTTGTGTTTTTGTGATCGAAAAATGGACCCGGTTTTGTATTGACACAACTTTCACCGCACAACTTTTAATATGTTATAGATACGAATATTCTACACGATTTGATTCTTTTCTGGAACGATTTCACAGGTTATTTTGGATTCTACGCGATTTTGATCAAATAAAAAAATATCAGGATGTTTATTGATATTGATTCAGTAGAATAATAGTCTTATATTATTAGGGTAAACATTCTATTGTAATTTGGTGAATTGTGATTTTGTAGGATTTTTGTGTAAATTTGATAGACTGCCGTTACGCTGCCGAAGTTTTGATGAATTGATTGAAATTCTTTCCAAGTTAGATCTTGGGGCGTCACATGGAGGCTGTGTGGGATTTGGTGGGAGTTGGGTATTTGAATTAATGTGGTAAGTGTTGGGTAGAGAGGAAGTGGGAATGAGAAGAAGAGGAGATGTGGGTAGAGAAGTGGTAGAATTGGATGGAGGAACCGAAGATGGTTTGAGTGGGAATATGTGTTCGTGAAAGACTACATGGCGAGAGATGTGAATTTTGCAAGTTTGAAGATGAAGACAGCGGTAGCCCTTGTGGGAGGTGGAGTAGCCGAGGAATAGGCATTCGTGGGATCGGGGAGATAATTTTGTAGGAGATTGAGGTTGAAGCCATGGAAAACAGAGGCACCCGAAAGTGCGTAAGTGAAGGTACGAGGGAGGTTTACCGTGAAGAAGATGGTAGGGGGATTTGTAGGAAGTGACTTTGGATGAAAGGCGATTGATCAGATAATGCGCAGTGGACAAGACCTCGGCCCAGAAGGTGAGTGGGAGATGAGCTGCGTGTAATAGAGTGCGGGTAACTTCGATGAGATGACGATGTTTTCGTTCGGCGAGACCGTTCTACTCGGGTGTATGAGGGCAGCTGAATTGGTGATGTATGCTGTGAGTAAGAAGATAAGTTTTAAATGCAATGCTGGTGAACTCCCACCTGCTGGGCTTTGTAAAGCTCATTATATGTGGTTGATATTTTCAGGTCAGGGCAAGGGAGCAGGAGATTGAGGTTGATCAGGAATCTCCAGGTTTTTGTTCTTTTTGGTTATAGTGATTTTTTTGTACTCAGGACAGGATAGATTTCAGTTCATAGTGTAGTTTCTGAGTATTGTATATGATCTTTTGAGATATAGATCGACCTGTACATTGATGTTTTAAATGTTATATATTTTTGTTAGACTGTCTGAATTGATGTTATAGATAGCTCTGGTAATTGGTTTTGATGAATTGATTGAAATTCTTTCCAAGTTAGATCTTGGGGCGTCACATGGAGGCTGTGTGGGATTTGGTGGGAGTTGGGTATTTGAATTAATGTGGTAAGTGTTGGGTAGAGAGGAAGTGGGAATGAGAAGAAGAGGAGATGTGGGTAGAGAAGTGGTAGAATTGGATGGAGGAACCGAAGATGGTTTGAGTGGGAATATGTGTTCGTGAAAGACTACATGGCGAGAGATGTGAATTTTGCAAGTTTGAAGATGAAGACAGCGGTAGCCCTTGTGGGAGGTGGAGTAGCCGAGGAATAGGCATTCGTGGGATCGGGGAGATAATTTTGTAGGAGATTGAGGTTGAAGCCATGGAAAACAGAGGCACCCGAAAGTGCGTAAGTGAAGGTACGAGGGAGGTTTACCGTGAAGAAGATGGTAGGGGGATTTGTAGGAAGTGACTTTGGATGAAAGGCGATTGATCAGATAATGCGCAGTGGACAAGACCTCGGCCCAGAAGGTGAGTGGGAGATGAGCTGCGTGTAATAGAGTGCGGGTAACTTCGATGAGATGACGATGTTTTCGTTCGGCGAGACCGTTCTACTCGGGTGTATGAGGGCAGCTGAATTGGTGATGTATGCTGTGAGTAAGAAGATAAGTTTTAAATGCAATGCTGGTGAACTCCCACCTGCTGGGCTTTGTAAAGCTCATTATATGTGGTTGATATTTTCAGGTCAGGGCAAGGGAGCAGGAGATTGAGGTTGATCAGGAATCTCCAGGTTTTTGTTCTTTTTGGTTATAGTGATTTTTTTGTACTCAGGACAGGATAGATTTCAGTTCATAGTGTAGTTTCTGAGTATTGTATATGATCTTTTGAGATATAGATCGACCTGTACATTGATGTTTTAAATGTTATATATTTTTGTTAGACTGTCTGAATTGATGTTATAGATAGCTCTGGTAATTGGTTTTGATGAATTGATTGAAATTCTTTCCAAGTTAGATCTTGGGGCGTCACATGGAGGCTGTGTGGGATTTGGTGGGAGTTGGGTATTTGAATTAATGTGGTAAGTGTTGGGTAGAGAGGAAGTGGGAATGAGAAGAAGAGGAGATGTGGGTAGAGAAGTGGTAGAATTGGATGGAGGAACCGAAGATGGTTTGAGTGGGAATATGTGTTCGTGAAAGACTACATGGCGAGAGATGTGAATTTTGCAAGTTTGAAGATGAAGACAGCGGTAGCCCTTGTGGGAGGTGGAGTAGCCGAGGAATAGGCATTCGTGGGATCGGGGAGATAATTTTGTAGGAGATTGAGGTTGAAGCCATGGAAAACAGAGGCACCCGAAAGTGCGTAAGTGAAGGTACGAGGGAGGTTTACCGTGAAGAAGATGGTAGGGGGATTTGTAGGAAGTGACTTTGGATGAAAGGCGATTGATCAGATAATGCGCAGTGGACAAGACCTCGGCCCAGAAGGTGAGTGGGAGATGAGCTGCGTGTAATAGAGTGCGGGTAACTTCGATGAGATGACGATGTTTTCGTTCGGCGAGACCGTTCTACTCGGGTGTATGAGGGCAGCTGAATTGGTGATGTATGCTGTGAGTAAGAAGATAAGTTTTAAATGCAATGCTGGTGAACTCCCACCTGCTGGGCTTTGTAAAGCTCATTATATGTGGTTGATATTTTCAGGTCAGGGCAAGGGAGCAGGAGATTGAGGTTGATCAGGAATCTCCAGGTTTTTGTTCTTTTTGGTTATAGTGATTTTTTTGTACTCAGGACAGGATAGATTTCAGTTCATAGTGTAGTTTCTGAGTATTGTATATGATCTTTTGAGATATAGATCGACCTGTACATTGATGTTTTAAATGTTATATATTTTTGTTAGACTGTCTGAATTGATGTTATAGATAGCTCTGGTAATTGGTTTTGATGAATTGATTGAAATTCTTTCCAAGTTAGATCTTGGGGCGTCACATGGAGGCTGTGTGGGATTTGGTGGGAGTTGGGTATTTGAATTAATGTGGTAAGTGTTGGGTAGAGAGGAAGTGGGAATGAGAAGAAGAGGAGATGTGGGTAGAGAAGTGGTAGAATTGGATGGAGGAACCGAATATGGTTTGAGTGGGAATATGTGTTCGTGAAAGACTACATGGCGAGAGATGTGAATTTTGCAAGTTTGAAGATGAAGACAGCGGTAGCCCTTGTGGGAGGTGGAGTAGCCGAGGAATAGGCATTCGTGGGATCGGGGAGATAATTTTGTAGGAGATTGAGGTTGAAGCCATGGAAAACAGAGGCACCCGAAAGTGCGTAAGTGAAGGTACGAGGGAGGTTTACCGTGAAGAAGATGGTAGGGGGATTTGTAGGAAGTGACTTTGGATGAAAGGCGATTGATCAGATAATGCGCAGTGGACAAAGCCTCGGCCCAGAAGGTGAGTGGGAGATGAGCTGCGACCACGTAGGAGCGTGCGATTGTCCCGGAGGTCCTTAATTAAAAAACCATGAGGATCAAATTAAATTGACACGTTGTTGTCAGCAGCGAGTTTCAATATTGAAAGTAAGTTATGAGATAGAGTGGGAACGTGGAGGAGATTATTTAGGTAGAGCTTACGATTGGTATCGATAAGAGGAAGCAATCCTTGACCGGAGTGTTGGATAGGAAGTGTATGTCCGTTTGAAATTGATATAGAGTCACTCCCATTGTAATGAGCTGGTTGTTGTAGATAAGAAACGTCGGAGGTGAGGTGAGTCGAAGCTCCCAAATCCAGTATCCAATCTGCTGTTGTAGAGGAATTTTGATGAGAAAGCAGAGCACGATTGTTGGACTGGTTGGTTGGTGCATACTGAAGGTTACATCTATGCCAACATTTGAGGGCTATGTGTCCTGATTTGCCGCAAATTTGACACGTAAAACGAGTATTTGATGGAATCTGTGTCGCCTGTGGATTGCTGCTGGGTATGGATTGCCTGGTTC